TATGGGGAACTTTGAATTTTTTTTAATGAGTTTAGTTGGACACACTTGTTGCTAGGCAACAAGTAGTAAATAAGATGTATGACAAATTTTGCGAAATATACGATGACGGCACAAAAACGTTCATACCAAAACAGAGCAGCAGGACCAGAAAACCGGACTGGTTCAACATAAATTGTGAGAGGGTATAGGGAGAAAAAGATAAGAAAATGGGTTCAATATAGGAAGAGGCCTAACCCACAAACATACCAGCCCTTGAAGCAAGCAAGAAACACATACACAGCGGTGAGGAGGGTGAGGCACACAGGAAAATTGAGAAAGGAACAGCTGTCATATGTAAAACAGATCCTGGCCTTTCGTATAAATTCATTAAAAAGCAAGCTGCATCACACACCACGACCCGCCCCACGACCCGCTCCACGACCCGCTCCACGATCAGCTCCATGACCCGCTCCACGACCCGCCCCACGACCCGCTCCACGACCCGCTCCACGATCAGCTCCATGACCCGCCCCACGACCCGCTCCACGACCCGCTCCACGATCAGCTCCATGACCCGCCCCACGACCCGCTCCACGACCCGCTCCACGATAAGCTCCATGACCCGCCCCACGACCCGCTCCACGACCCGCTCCACGATCAGCTCCATGACCCGCTCCACGACCCGCCCCACGATCACCTCCATGACCCGCCCCACGACCCGCTCCACGACCCGCTCCACGACCCGCTCCACGATCAGCTCCATGACCCGCCCCACGACCCGCTCCACGACCCGCTCCACGACCCGCTCCACGATCAGCTCCATGACCCGCCCCACGACCCGCTCCACGACCCGCTCCACGATCAGCTCCATGACCCGCTCCACGACCCGCCCCACGACCCGCTCCACGACCCGCTCCACGATCACCTCCATGACCCGCCCCACGACCCGCTCCACGACCCGCTCCACGATCAGCTCCATGACCCGCCCCACGACCCGCTCCACGACCCGCTCCACGATCAGCTCCATGACCCGCTCCACGACCCGCACCATGATATGCTTTATGATCCACTTCACGACCCATTCCACGACCCACTCCATGACGCACTCCATGACTTGCACCATGACCCGCACCATGACCCGCTCCATGACACACACCAAGACCCGCTCCATGACCCGCACCATGACCCGCACCATAACCTGCTCCACGACCTAGACCATGACCCGCTCCATGACCCGCACCATGACCCGCACCATGACACACACCATGACCCGCACCATGACCCGCTCCATGACCCACACCATGACCCGCTCCATGACACACACCATGACCCGCTCCATGACACACACCATGACCCGCACCATGATCCGCTCCATGACCCACACCATGACCCGCTCCATGACACACACCATGACCCGCACCATGACCCACACCATGACCCGCTCCATGACCCACACCATGACCCGCTCCATGACACACACCATGACCCACACCATGACCCGCTCCATGACCCGCACCATGACCCACACCATGACCCACACCATGACCCGCTCCATGACCCACACCATGACCCGCTCCATGACACACACCATGACCCACACCATGACCCGCTCCATGACCCACACCATGACCCGCTCCATGACACACACCATGACCCACACCATGACCCACACCATGACTCGCTCCATGACACACACCATGACCCGCTCCATGACCCGCTCCATGACCCACACCATGACCCACACCATGACCCGCACCATGACCCACACCATGACACACACCATGACCCACACCATGACCCGCACCATGACCCACACCATGACACACACCATGACACACACCATGACCCGCTCCATGACACACACCATGACCCACACCATGACCCACACCATGACCCGCTCCATGACCCGCACCATGACACACACCATGACACACACCATGACCCGCTCCATGACACACACCATGACCCGCTCCATGACCCACACCATGACCCACACCATGACCCGCACCATGACCCGCTCCATGACACACACCATGACCCGCTCCATGACACACACCATGACACACACCATGACACACACCATGACCCGCACCATGACACACACCATGACACACACCATGACCCGCTCCATGACACACACCATGACACACACCATGACACACACCATGACCCGCACCATGACACCCACCATGACACACACCATGACCCGCTCCATGACCCGCACCATGACACACACCATGACCCACACCATGACACACACCATGACACACACCATGACCCACACCATGACACACACCATGACACACACCATGACACACACCATGACACACACCATGACACACACCATGACCCGCACCATGACCCGCTCCATGACCCACACCATGACCCACACCATGACCCGCACCATGACCCGCTCCATGACACACACCATGACCCGCTCCATGACACACACCATGACACACACCATGACACACACCATGACCCGCACCATGACACACACCATGACACACACCATGACCCGCTCCATGACCCGCACCATGACACACACCATGACCCACACCATGACACACACCATGACCCACACCATGACACACACCATGACACACACCATGACCCACACCATGACACACACCATGACACACACCATGACACACACCATGACACACACCATGACACACACCATGACACACACCATGACACACACCATGACCCGCTCCATGACACACACCATGACCCGCACCATGACCCGCTCCATGACCCACACCATGACCCGCTCCATGACACACACCATGACCCACACCATGACCCACACCATGACCCACACCATGACCCACACCATGACCCGCACCATGACCCACACCATGACCCGCACCATGACCCGCTCCATGACCCACACCATGACCCGCTCCATGACACACACCATGACCCACACCATGACCCACACCATGACCCACACCATGACCCGCACCATGACCCACACCATGACCCACACCATGACCCGCTCCATGACCCGCACCATGACACACACCATGACACACACCATGACACACACCATGACCCACACCATGACCCGCACCATGACCCACACCATGACCCGCACCATGACCCGCTCCATGACCCACACCATGACCCGCTCCATGACACACACCATGACCCACACCATGACCTGTTCCATGACCCGCACCATGACCCACACCATGACACACACCATGACCCACACCATGACCCACACCATGACCCACACCATGACACACACCATGACCCGCTCCATGACACACACCATGACCCACACCATGACCCGCACCATGACCCACACCATGACACACACCATGACCCACACCATGACACACACCATGACCCACACCATGACCCACACCATGACACACACCATGACCCGCACCATGACCCGCACCATGACCCGCTCCATGACACACACCATGACCCGCACCATGACCCGCACCATGACCCACACCATGACACACACCATGACCCACACCATGACCCACACCATGACACACACCATGACCCACACCATGACCCACACCATGACCCACACCATGACACACACCATGACCCACACCATGACCCACACCATGACCCACACCATGACACACACCATGACCCACACCATGACCCACACCATGACACACACCATGACCCGCACCATGACCCGCACCATGACCCACACCATGACACACACCATGACCCACACCATGACACACACCATGACCCACACCATGACACACACCATGACCCGCTCCATGACACACACCATGACCCGCACCATGACCCGCACCATGACCCACACCATGACACACACCATGACCCGCTCCATGACACACACCATGACCCGCACCATGACCCGCACCATGACCCGCACCATGACCCACACCATGACACACACCATGACCCACACCATGACCCGCACCATGACCCACACCATGACACACACCATGACACACACCATGACCCGCTCCATGACACACACCATGACCCACACCATGACCCACACCATGACCCGCTCCATGACCCGCACCATGACACACACCATGACACACACCATGACCCGCTCCATGACACACACCATGACCCGCTCCATGACCCACACCATGACCCACACCATGACCCGCACAATGACCCGCTCCATGACACACACCATGACCCGCTCCATGACACACACCATGACACACACCATGACACACACCATGACCCGCACCATGACACACACCATGACACACACCATGACCCGCTCCATGACACACACCATGACACACACCATGACACACACCATGACCCGCACCATGACACACACCATGACACACACCATGACCCGCTCCATGACCCGCACCATGACACACACCATGACCCACACCATGACACACACCATGACACACACCATGACCCACACCATGACACACACCATGACACACACCATGACACACACCATGACACACACCATGACACACACCATGACCCGCACCATGACCCGCTCCATGACCCACACCATGACCCACACCATGACCCGCACCATGACCCGCTCCATGACACACACCATGACCCGCTCCATGACACACACCATGACACACACCATGACACACACCATGACCCGCACCATGACACACACCATGACACACACCATGACCCGCTCCATGACCCGCACCATGACACACACCATGACCCACACCATGACACACACCATGACACACACCATGACACACACCATGACACTCACCATGACCCACACCATGACACACACCATGACACACACCATGACACACACCATGACACACACCATGACACACACCATGACACACACCATGACACACACCATGACCCGCTCCATGACACACACCATGACCCGCACCATGACCCGCTCCATGACCCACACCATGACCCGCTCCATGACACACACCATGACCCACACCATGACCCACACCATGACCCGCACCATGACCCACACCATGACCCGCACCATGACCCACACCATGACCCGCACCATGACCCGCTCCATGACCCACACCATGACCCGCTCCATGACACACACCATGACCCACACCATGACCCACACCATGACCCACACCATGACCCGCACCATGACCCACACCATGACCCACACCATGACCCGCTCCATGACCCGCACCATGACACACACCATGACACACACCATGACACACACCATGACCCACACCATGACCCGCACCATGACCCACACCATGACCCGCACCATGACCCGCTCCATGACCCACACCATGACCCGCTCCATGACACACACCATGACCCACACCATGACCTATTCCATGACCCGCACCATGACCCACACCATGACACACACCATGACCCACACCATGACCCACACCATGACCCACACCATGACACACACCATGACCCGCTCCATGACACACACCATGACCCGCACCATGACCCGCACCATGACCCACACCATGACACACACCATGACCCACACCATGACACACACCATGACCCACACCATGACCCACACCATGACACACACCATGACCCGCACCATGACCCGCACCATGACCCGCTCCATGACACACACCATGACCCGCACCATGACCCGCACCATGACCCACACCATGACACACACCATGACCCACACCATGACCCACACCATGACACACACCATGACCCGCACCATGACCCACACCATGACCCACACCATGACCCACACCATGACCCACACCATGACCCACACCATGACCCACACCATGACACACACCATGACCCACACCATGACCCACACCATGACACACACCATGACCCGCACCATGACCCGCACCATGACCCACACCATGACACACACCATGACCCACACCATGACACACACCATGACCCACACCATGACACACATCATTACCCGCTCCATGACACACACCATGACCCGCACCATGACCCGCACCATGACCCACACCATGACACACACCATGACCCGCTCCATGACACACACCATGACCCGCACCATGACCCGCACCATGACCCGCACCATGACCCACACCATGACACACACCATGACCCACACCATGACACACACCATGACCCACACCATGACCCACACCATGACCCGCTCCATGACACACACCATGACCCACACCATGACCCACACCATGACCCACACCATGACCCGCTCCATGACCCACACCATGACACACACCATGACCCGCACCATGACCCACACCATGACACACACCATGACCCACACCATGACCCACACCATGACACACACCATGACCCACACCATGACCCACACCATGACCCACACCATGACACACACCATGACCCACACCATGACCCACACCATGACCCACACCATGACACACACCATGACCCACACCATGACCCACACCATGACACACACCATGACCCGCACCATGACCCGCACCATGACCCACACCATGACACACACCATGACCCACACCACGACCCACACCATGACACACACCATGACCCACACCATGACCCACACCATGACCCACACCATGACACACACCATGACCCACACCATGACCCACACCATGACCCACACCATGACACACACCATGACCCACACCATGACCCACACCATGACACACACCATGACCCGCACCATGACCCGCACCATGACCCACACCATGACACACACCATGACCCACACCATGACACACACCATGACCCACACCATGACACACACCATGACCCGCTCCAGGACCCACACCATGACCCGCACCATGACCCGCACCATGACCCACACCATGACACACACCATGACCCGCTCCATGACACACACCATGACCCGCACCCTGACCCGCACCATGACCCGCACCATGACCCACACCATGACACACACCATGACCCACACCATGACACACACCATGACCCACACCATGACCCACACCATGACCCGCTCCATGACGCACACCATGACCCACACCATGACCCACACCATGACCCACACCATGACCCGCTCCATGACCCACACCATGACACACACCATGACCCGCACCATGACCCACACCATGACACACACCATGACCCACACCATGACCCACACCATGACACACACCATGACCCACACCATGACCCACACCATGACCCACACCATGACACACACCATGACCCACACCATGACCCACACCATGACCCACACCATGACACACACCATGACCCACACCATGACCCACACCATGACACACACCATGACCCACACCATGACCCGCACCATGACCCACACCATGACACACACCATGACCCACACCATGACACACACCATGACCCACACCATGACACACACCATGACCCGCTCCATGACCCACACCATGACACACACCATGACCCACACCATGACCCACACCATGACCCACACCATGACCCGCTCCATGACCCACACCATGACCCACACCATGACCCACACCATGACACACACCATGACCCGCACCATGACCCACACCATGACCCGCACCATGACACGCTCCATGACCCGCACCATGACCCACACCATGACCTGCACCATGACCCACTCCATGACCCACACCATGACCCACACCATGACCCACTCCATGACCCACACCATGACCCACACCATGACCCGCACCATGACACGCTCCATGACCCGCACCATGACCCACACCATGACCTGCACCATGACCCACTCCATGACCCACACCATGACCCACACCATGACCCGCACCATGACCCACACCATGACCCACACCATGACCCGCACCATGAGACGCTCCATGTCCCACACCATGACACACACCATGACACGCACCATGACCCGCACCATGACCCACACCATGACCCACACCATGACCCGCACCATGACACACACCATGACCTGCACCATGACCCGCATTATGACACACACCATGACCTGCACCATGACCCGCACCATGACCCACACCATGACCCACACCATGACCCGCACCATGACCCACACCATGACCCACACCATGACCCGCACCATGACACACACCATGACCTGCACCATGACCCGCACCATGACACACACCATGACCTGCACCATGACCCGCACCATGACCCACACCATGACCCACACCATGACCCGCACCATGACACACACCATGACACGCACCATGACCCGCACCATGACCCACACCATGACCCACACCATGACCCGCACCATGACCCACACCATGACCCACACCATGACCCGCACCATGACACACACCATGACCTGCACCATGACCCGCACCATGACACACACCATGACCTGCACCATGACCCGCACCATGACACACACCATGACCTGCACCATGACCCGCACCATGACACACACCATGACCTGCACCATGACACACACCATGACCTGCACCATGACACACACCATGACCTGCACCATGACCCGCACCATGACACACACCATGACCTGCACCATGACCTGCACCATGACCTGCACCATGACCCGCTCCACGACCTGTTCCATGACCCTCCTGCCTACCTTGAGGTTACCTTGAGGTGCTTCCGGGGCTTAGCGTCCCCACGGCCCGGTCGTCAACCAGGCCTCCTGGTTGCTGGACTCATCAACCAGGCTGTTGGACGCGGGTGCTCGCAGCCTGACGTATGAGTCACAGCCTGGTTGATCAGGTATCCTTTGGAGGTGCTTATCCAGTTCTCTCTTGAACACTGTCAAGACCCTCTCCACGACCTGCACCATGACCTGCTCCACGACCCTCTCCACGACCTGCACCATGACCCACTCCACGACCTGCACCATGACCTGCACCATGACTCTCTCCACGACCTGCACCATGACCCACTCCACGACCAGCTCCATGACTCTCTCCACGACCTGCACCATGACTCTCTCCACGACCAGCACCATGACCCACTCCACGACCAGCACCATGACCTGCACCATGACCTGCTCCACGACCTGTTCAATGACCTGCTCCACGACCTGCACCATGACCCACTCCACGACCAGCACCATGACCCACTCCACGACCTGCACCATGACCTGCTCCACGACCTGTTCAATGACCTGCTCCACGACCTGCACCATGACCCACTCCACGACCTGCACCATGACCTGCTCCACGACCTGTACCATACCTGGTTGATGGGGTTCTGGGAGTTCTTCTACTCCCCAAGCCCGGCTTGACTTGTGAGAGTTTGGTCCACCAGGCTGTTGCTTGGAGCGGCCCGCAGGCCCACATACCCACCACAGCCCGGTTGGTCCAGCACTCCTTGGAGGAAACAATCTAGTTTCCTCTTGAAGATGTCCACGGTTGTTCCTGTAATATTTCTGATGCTCGCTGGTAGGACGTTGAACAACCGCGGACCTTTGATGTTTATACAGTGTTCTCTGATTGTGCCTATGGCACCTCTGCTCTTCACTGGTTCTATTCTGCATTTTCTTCCATGTCGTTCACTCCAGTACGTTGTTATTTTACTGTGCAGATTTGGGATCTGTCCCTCCAGTATTTTCCATGTGTATATTATTTGGTATCTCTCGTCTCCTTTCTAGTGAGTACATTTGGAGAGTTTTGAGACGATCCCAATAATTTAGGTGCTTTATCTCGTCTATGCGTGCCGTATATGTTCTCTGTATTCCCTCAATTTCAGCAATCTCTCCTGCTCTGAAGGGGGAAGTGAGTACTGAGCAGTATTCAAGACGGGACAACACAAGTGATTTGAAGAGTACAACCATTGTGATGGGATCTCTGGACTTGAAGGTTCTCGTAATCCATGCTATCATTTTTCTGGCTGACGCAATACTTGCTTGGTTATGCTTCCTAAACGTTAAGTCGTCGGACATCATTATTCCCAAATCCTTGACATGCTGTTTTCCTACTATGGGCAGATTCGATTGTGTTTTGTACCCTGTATTATGTTTAAGATCCTCATTTTTGCCGTATCTGAGTAACTGGAATTTATCACCGTTAAACATCATGTTATTTTCTGCTGCCCAATTGAAAACTTTGTTAATATCTGTTTGTAGTTTATCAATGTCTTCAGCAGAGGTAATTTTCATGTTGATTTTTGTATCATCTGCAAAGGATGACACGAAGCTGTGACTTGTGTTTTTGTCTGTCTGATATGAGAATAGGGAACAGCAGTGGTGCAAGGACTGTACCTTGAGATACAGAGCTTTTAACTGCGCTCGGACTCGATTTTACTTGATTGACTGTTACTCTTTGTGTTCTGTTCGACAGGAAATTGAGTATCCAGCGTCCTACTTTACCAGTTATACCCATTGACCTCATTTTGTGTGCAATCACTCCATGGTCACATTTGTCGAATGCCTTTGCAAAATCTGTGTATTCGACATCTGCATTATGTTTTTCCTCTAATGCCTCAGTGATTTTGTCATAGTGGTCAAGTAGCTGTGAGAGGCACGATCTTCCTGCTCTAAATCCATGTTGGCCTGGGTTGTGGAGGTCATTGGTTTCCATGAATCTAGTGACCTGACTCCTGATCACTCTCTCAAATACTTTTATTGTGTGGGACGTTAGTGCAACTGGTCTATAATTCTTTGCCAATGCTTTACTAGCACCCTTGTGTAGAGGGGCTATGTCTGCTGCTTTAAGTGCATCTGGTATCTCCCCCGTGTCCAAGCTCTTCCTCCACACTATACTGAGTGCCTGTGCTACCGGCACTTTGCATTTCTTTATAAATATTGAATTCCATGAGTCTGGATCCTGGGCTGAGTGCATGGGCATATTATCAACTTCTCTTTCAAAATCTGCCACGCTCGTGCTGACATCAGTTATATTTACAGGTGTTTGAGTATCATTCATAAAGAAATTGTCCGAATCTTCCACTTTCATGCTGAGTATCGGAGTGCTAAACATGTTCTCATACTGCTTTTTTAGGATTTCACTAATTTCTTTGTCATCCTCCGTGTATGAACCACCACTAATACGAATAAGTCCAATTCTGGCAGTGGTTTTCGCTTTTGATTTAGCATATGTGAAGAAATATTTTGGGTTTTTCTTTATTTCTTGAATTGCTTTCTGTTCTAGTTGCCTTTCTTCAGTCTGATAGGAATGCTTCAGTCTCTGTTTGATTTCTTCAATCTCCCTGTTTAAATTATTTCTTCTTTGTATGGAGAGTCGTGTCTGCTTAAGCATTTCCGTTAATTTCTTCCTCCTTTTGTAATTTCGTCTGCGTTCTCTTTCTACATTGGACCTCTTTCTGGCTTTCCAGAGAGAGGTCCAAAAGTCTGTCTGAAAACATGTTCAAAGGAACATGTTTCAGACAGACTTCATATGCTTCAGAAGTCAGTTTTTCTATTCCTTGTGTAGGACTTTTGTTTCTTAGAACATTTTCCCATTGAATGTTTGTAAGTTCCCTGTTTATTTTCTCCCAGTCTATCCTTTTATTATTAAAATTGAATTTATTGAATAGCCCTTCTCGCTAGTTGTTTCTCTTGGGCCTACTACCGTTATTAATGTTAGTTTGCACTTCAATGAGCTTGTGGTCCGAGTACGTAGTGTCTGAGACAGTAATGTCTCTGAGTAGCTCCTCATTGTTCGTGAATATCAGGTCCAGCGTGTTCTCGTTCCTAGTTGGTTCTTTAATATGCTGACTGAGCGAGAATTTGTCACAGAATCTCAGCAGTTCTCTGACCTGTGGTTGGATATTTCCAGGTTGACTTCCTACTATAATGTTATTGTTTTAAACTGGGTAGACTGCAGTATGATGTCTCCATGACACACCGTGACCCGCACCATGACCCGCTCCATGACCCACTCCACGACCTGCACCTCGACCCACTCCAAGAACCACACTATGACTTAGTCCACGACCTGCACCACGACCCGATCCAAGAACCACACCATGACTTAGTCCACGACCTGCACCATGACCCACTCCACAACCTGCTCTATGACCCGCAACATGACCCGCTCCATGACCCACACCATGATCCGCACCATGATCCGCACCATGACCCGCACCAAGACCCCTACAATGACCCGCACCATGACCCGCTCCACAGCCCACACCATGACCCGCACCATGACCCACACCATGACCTGCTCCATAACCCACACCATGACCTGCACTAGGACCCGCACAATGACCCGCACCATGACCTGCACTAGGACCCGCACAATGACCCGCACCATGACACGCACCATGATCCGCACCATGACCCGCACCATGACTTACACTATGACCCGCACCATGACCCTCAATATGACCCGCACCATGACCCACACCATGACCAGCACTATGACCCGCTCCACGGCCCGCACCATGACCCTACTTAATGACCCACACCATGACCCGCACTTTGACCGGCACCATAACCTGCTCTATGATCCGCACCATGACCCCGGATCATGACCCCGCACCATGGCCATGCACCATGACCTGCTCCATAACACGCTCCATGACCCGCACCATGACTTGCCCCATGGCAAGTCATAAAATTGCACATAAAATGCGTTCAAAAGGAATTACCGGAAAAATAGGCAGATGGATCTACAATTTCCTGACCAACAGAACACAATGTGTAATAGTCAACAAAATAAAATCCGGACCATCAACCGTGAAGAGCTCCGTCCCCCAGGGTACTGTGCTTGCTCCAGTACTTTTTCTCATCCTCATATCGGACATAGACCAGAACACAACCTATAGCACTGTATCATCCTTTGCGGATGACACTAGGATCTTCATGAGAGTAGGCAACATAGAGGACACGGCGAACCTCCAGTCAGATGTAGATCAGGTCTTTCTATGGGCTACAGAAAATAATATGGTGTTTAACGAAGATAAGTTCCAGCTCATGCGCTATGGAAAAAATGAAAATATAAAAACGGAAACCACGTACAAAACTCAGGCAAATCATGACATAGAACGAAAAGGCAATGTAAAGGATCTGGGTGTACTGATGTCGGAAGACCTTACCTTTAAAGAACACAATAAAGTAGCCGTCACAACTGCAAGAAAAATGACAGGTTGGATAACAAGAACTTTTCACACTAGAGATGCTATACCGATGATGATACTTTTCAAGACGCTAGTACTCTCTAGAGTGGAGTACTGCTGCACAATGACAGCCCCTTTCAAAGCTGGAGAAATTGCCGACCTGGAGAGCGTGCAGAGATCCTTTACTGCAAGAATTCACTCAGTAAAACACCTAAACTATTGGGACCGACTAAAGAGCCTAAATATGTACTCCCTTGAGCGCAGGCGGGAGAGATATATAATAATTTACACGTGGAAAATATTAGAGGGGCTGGTCCCAAACCTGCACACAGAAATAACATCACATGAGACCAGAAGACATGGCAGGATGTGCAGAATACCCCCGTTGAAAAGCAGAGGTGCAACAGGTACTCTGAGAGAGAACTCTATCAACATCAGAGGCCCGAGACTGTTCAACACGCTTCCACTACACATAAGGGACATAACTGGCCGACCCCTCACAGTGTTTAAGGGAGAACTGGATAAGCCCCTCCAAAGGATACCTGATCAACCAGGCTGTGACTCATACGTCAGGCTGCGAGCACCCGGGTCCAACAGCCTGGTTGATCAGTCCAGCAACCAAGAGGCCTGGTCGACGACCGGGCCGTGGGGACGCTAAGCCCCGGAAGCTCCTCAAGGTAACCTCAAGGCAAGGTATGGCCACCTCCATGACCCGCTCCAAGACCTGCACCATGACTCGCTCCAAGACCCGCACCATGACCCGCTCCACGACCCGCACCATGACCCACATCATGACCCTCACCATGACCCGCACCATGACCCGCATCATGACCACACTCCATGACCCGCATCATGACCCGCTCCATGACCCGCTCCATGACCCGCATCATGACCCGCTCCATGACCCGCTCCATGACCCGCATCATGACTCGCTCCAAGACCCGCACCATGACCCGCTCCACGACCCGCACCACGACCCGCACCATGACCCACATCATGACCCTCACCATGACCCGCACCATGACCCGCATCATGACCACACTCCATGACCCGCTCCATGACCCGCTCCATGACCCGCATCATGACCCGCTCCATGACCCGCTCCATGACCCGCATCATGACCAG